GCTACTTCAACAAAAACGGGAAGTTAGACCTGCCCTCCACCCTTTCCACGTCCCCCTTTTCTGCGCCTCGTGCGCGCGCTCAAGGGTTCTGGGGGTGTGGATTGAGAGTGAAACACGCGCGTAAACGGGAGGAGGGACTTATGGGGCAAGTGTAACTCTGCTAAAACGGACAGGCCTTCGTTTATGTATATCCGGGCCGTGCGTGCGGCTTGCCAACGGCCAGCCACCAGGAGCCTATCTAGACTCCCGTGCTTGGAAAACCAAAAGGTCGAGCCCCCTCTCCTAAGTGAGTAAGGTCTGAATTCAAAGAGGGTGAGCTTGAGGTCGGCCAAACAAGTCTTGAACATTGTCCTCCAGGTGGAGGCCGACGGGCAGAGTGACGCTTTAGGGCCGTTCCGGCCTTTCCACTGCCACAACCACTTTAAAGCGACAGCCGCAGTCAAGGTCACCGACTCAGCAGCACCGGTCCTCTTACCACCTTTGGTTAGACCTAAACTAATCACTGCAGGAGAGGTAGCAGAGTTCATGCTAATATCCGAGTTTCGAATGCCCAACACTTCACCTGTCCTCAGCATGGCATAAAAACAGAGCAGGATGGAAACTGAAAAATTAAAATGCCCATGGAAAAATCCCCAGCCAGCCATGGCCAAGATGGCTTGCTCAGGTAGGGGCGGAGCCCTGTTGGGAATTTCCTGAGTATTCCATGTTTTCATCAATCTCCAAGTCTGTTGAAAATGCCCCTTAAGTTTCGGATCCAGGTCCTGTAACCCTGCAATGGTGTCGGCAGCGAGCCCGCGGCCCTCGCCTTCTGACCACAGAAACTCAACATATTCGGACACTATTGCATCAAACTGGTCGCGCCTTGTGGGGATCTCTAGCTGGTTCTTATGAAGAAAATCATAGAAACGTTCCCTTGCGTTCTTGTACCTTGCATTTGTTTTACTGGACACAGTAAGACCCTTCAACGGCCCCAAGGCCTTGCGCTGCTGCTTCCTATCTTCCTTACTACGACCCTCTAACACACGTGCTCTTACTTTAGCCATTTCTTGCGCAGCGGCCGCCGACTGCGGCGGTCCGCAGGGTTGAGGGATGTGTGTATGTACCCCCAGAGGGGGTGCAGGTCCGCAGCAAGTAGATAGGAATTGAGTTGCATAATGATGGGTCTCAACCGGCGACTAGAGCTTCTACCTCTAGTGAGAGCATGAAGGCACACGAGACTGTCGGTAAGGTGCAAAAACCTCACCCCTACACGCTTGCACCTCCAGATCTTCCACTTGACACTGGTCAGGATTGCACGGAGCTCTAAACCATTAATGTGTTCGCCTGAATGCATCCAGCGCCAGCCACAGATTTCGCGCCACTTCCACATACGACCGGGCACGCTTGCGCGAAGGCGAAAATGCCGAGGAGCAGGATCACTACTACTGTGAACCATCAGATCCTCTCCCTTCATGGACGTCAAACCTATGAGCTTTTTGACCAGCTGTACCGTGTTGGCCTCTTTGACAAGCTCTTGTCTTCCGTGCAGTGGGGGACGAATTAACATGGTTGAGAACTCGGATGCCCGTCCTGGAGTGAGGTCCATCAGCAGCTGGTCAAGCTGGCTCACTTTACATAGGCCGAGAGGCTCTGTCAACTGCTGCAGGAGCCACGCGATTACACCTACGTGCCACGAATTACCTAGCATGGTGAGGCGCATGTCTTCATGTTTGGCTCCCTGTTGTTGGCTCTTAGGAAGGCAGTTCCTAGTATACCCTACGGGGAAACCCATACATGCTTCGCGTTCAGCAGAGTCAGGACGTCTCCATTCACCTTTTTTGCTCCAAAGTCCGTTGGCATCTTTATATTGGTAAGGTGGGAACCTGAACTCATCTGCCTCCCAACGTGCCTTTTCGTGGTCTTGGCATCCGTCCAGCCCTGCTGGGCGACGTCCTGGGCCGGCACGAGGTCTTGACGTGGTGAACGTGGGGAAATAGCCACCTTCTACTAGGCTCCAACCCGGGTGCAAAAAGGCCTTACTGTCAATGTCACCCCTGAGCTCCACCTTCCCGCAAGCACTCCAGGAGTCTCCCTCGGGATGAGTGACAACAGCCCCAGGCACGTCATGAAGCTCCCACGTCACCCAGTATAGACGAGGCCTAGAACACAAGGAAATGCCCCTCGAGTCAATTCGATATGGTGCACGCTCAAATTTGGCGCTCATGTGGCCTCGATCAGTTTCGGACATGGAGGCCACGTTCTCAACTAATTCGTGAACCTGGGCCCAATGGAACAGCTGTTTGAAGCCTGATGTAATGCGTGGGATCTCCTGGAACAAACAGCTTCGAGCATCTTTCAAGGCCCCTTGTCTATCAGAGTTGAGTCCTGAAACACCTTGACAGGGTGGTCCAGCTCCTATGATGATCAGACCTACGTTGCTGTACTTCAAAGACAGTTGGAGAATTTCCTCTTCACCAAAAGTGGAGACATCGGGGAAAAAATCACACTCAGGAAAGAAGCTCTCAACCACTCTATGGCAGTGTGGGTTCTGCTCAATGCTGACATGCCCTGCCATGGGCAAACCAAGCACATCGCACGCAACACGAAGAGCCCCGATCCCATCGAAAAGTCCCACGCTGAGAACCTGGACAATGTCATGCTCCTCCGGAAGGTCACCCCTACTGCTGGCATTCAGTGCAGCATGGCCAAACTGACTAAGTCCTTTAGAAGCACAGAGTCCTCCTCCGAACGAAGAGGCGTCCGAGCACGTGACCTCACCATCAACCTTTGCACGGAACTCCATCTGAGCCAGTGGCGAAAGCAGTATGAAACGGGCAATCTCTACCTTGACCTGGTAGGGAAGGGCCAACCTGACAACTGGGGCCTCGCTCTCAAAAGCCTTCATGTGCTCAAACACCGCGTTCAACGAACATAGCAGGGCCCGTCGGAACATACAGAGGTATACAAAGCCGCCGCACACCACTTGTAGCTCCCTCAGGGTCGATTCGCCCCGTCTCAATAGCTCAAAGCCCAGCTTGCAATATTGGATGACCTTGATCGGCTTGGCCATCGCAAAGCCTCGCTCTCCATCAAGGAGTGCACCTTGCATCTCCCCGAGCCCTGCGCGCTGCACCGCTTTCTTCGGGTGGCGTGGCAGCCCCAAAGTCTCATAGGCCAGCCTGAGGCCCTCCACCTGGGTCGCCACCGTGCCTTTGATGGTGTCTGCCAGCTCAGCCTGTACTCGTTCCAAACAGTCGAAGTTGTCCAAATAAGTACGATACAGCTGGTCGGAGTTGGGAAGTCCCTTATCCTTACGGAGCTCACCTTCACCACCGATCACCGGCCTACACTGTTGGGCACCAAGCCTCACTACGTTCCTATGGACATGTTGTGCGATTGACACAGAGTTTATGAACCCCATGGGTAAAACCCTAGACACTAGCACACAAGTCTGACCCCGCCATTTCTCAGGAACCAGGGTCTCAGGTAACGTGCGATTGAACCCCATGTACTGTTTCCACCCTTCAGGCACAGCGAACAGGTAAAAGAAACACCGGATGTCCTCGCTGGAGAGGAGGACTACTTCCCCATCTTCTAGCAAATAGCCATTCAGGCCTGAGACGGACGGGAGCGTGCCCACGTCCCCTGCCAATGGTCGGCAGAGGGCATTCACTGGTGTTAAATTCATGATCAAACGTTGAGTTTCGATGCCGTTCAGCACGTACTCCCCTTTGCCAACTGCAAATAGTCCGTTCAGGACGGGTTTTCCCCTGAGATGATAAATCTGGTCCAGGGGCTTGGCCTCAGCAATCCCCCGCTCAAGGAGTCCTGCTGCCAGGCTCTCCCACTGTCCTTCCTGTATCATCACCCTGGGGGGGGGTGGTATACACTCGAGCCTCGTCCGGAACCATGTATGTCTCAAAATCCTGTATGTATGCAAGTGTGCCTAACCTACAAAACGTGGCTAAAGGCAACGAACCGGTTTCTGCAGGCAACGATTGTTTGACGGCTTCCCATGAAAGTTTCTGGGCCATCTTGATTTCGTCACCCTGGTAACTCACCCCACGCCCCTTGAAAAACGAATCGAAATCGATCTCCTCCTGCGACACTCCCCACATGTGATTGCGCTGCACAAGACGTGAAACACTTTTTTCCGCTTTCGAACGAACTCCAAGCTCATCTTCGTGAGCCGAAGAAGTAGAAGAACTCGAGGAGATAGCAACAGGCCCTGACGTCCCGAATCCAGCCAAATGATTGAGAGCAATGAGGGCCCCTCGAGCTGCCTCCTCTGTCAGCCGGCGCGGAGCACCCTCTTCCTCAAGCTCCACCATTCTCACCGTCTGCAGTGGGAACAGGGGATTTCGCCGATCCAGAGGGTTCTCCTTGTTGGAGCGCATTGTCATAGAGCTGTCCTGTCGTAGAACGCTGGCTGACTTCTTGATGATGTCGTGCATGCTCAAGCCAGGAGCTTTAGCGTCTCGCTTTTCCGCTCCCGTCCCAAGTACTGTAAATTCGACGGCGTTCACCTCCCTGCCACCAGGAGGCAAAAGCCCTGTACCAGGAGCTTGACCTGCTCCCGTGTGCACCTCCTCTAATGCTTCTTCTTGCCGTCTCCTTTGTCCTTCTTTCCTTTCTCCTTGTCGCGATCCTTGTCCTTGCTCTCCCCTTTCTCGCCTTTCGCTTTGCCCTTGTCTCTGAAGCGATCCCTGTATTCGGGAAACCTTCCGGTGGCCTTGCCATAGATCTTGTTCTCCTCGTGGGCTGTCCTGCCTGCTTGGTGGAGCTCGCTTGAACTGGCCAGTCCATAGTTCTCCACCTGGATCAACTCCAATTGCTTTATCAAGTCGACCTTCATGCCCTTTGCCAACGCTTCCAGTGATTTCAGCCTTTGCGACATCACGTCGCAGGCCGATGCCACTTTCCCCTGAACCATCAGGTCCAGGGTTGCAGCCCAATGGATGGCTTCTCGATAGATCACCGGCGACATGGATGCTCCCATCTGTTGCCTCACGTATTGAGACGTCAGCGGTTGCAACTGTCCTGAAGTCGAGGCCATACTTCCCATCTGCAATAGCATGCTGCGTTGAGCATCTTGTAGCAACTGGGCAGTCAATACACCTGGCAGTCTTTCCCACATTCTCTGGGTGCTTGTCTGAGGTGTGAACAGCTCCCCGAAATAGTCCTCGCCTTCGCTGACCTTGCTCGAGGAGTCCGAACTCTCTGAACTCCCGGTCGATGCACTGTCCTTGTTCCGGGACTTCTTGGTCAGCTTCTTGGCGCGGCGCCTGAATCTCTTCCGCTTCACGGGGTCCGCGTCCATGCCTGTGTTCTTGAAGAGCGTGGTATGGTCCTTCACTGGCTCCATCCTCAGCTTTGTCTTTTTCTTCTTCTTCTTCTTTTTCTTCTGCTCCTCGGATTCCCCCGACACTCCAGGGGCGTCGACCTTCTCTGCAGCGGCTTTCGGGCCGGCCGGTAGCCCTCTTCCTTTCCCACGGGCTGCAGCTTCTAGTCGAACGCGCTCTAACTCGTCTCTCTCTGCCTCCGCTCGACTGCTCTCTAAATTCTTCTCCCAAGATACTTCTCCGGCGCGATGTTGCTTGAGCTGGGTCACATGGATCAGCCCGTCCTCCCAAGTCTTCCTGTCGCACCTTCGTCCGCATAGATGAAGTCGCACTGTTTTTTCCGGCACCCCGCTGATGTATCGGAGAAGGGCCTCGCTTGAAGTGCCCACTGCCTTGCCTAGGAGCTCCCTGTCTCCCCTGCTGGCCCTCAGTTCGATCATCTCCACGGTGCAGTCGACGGCCTCCTCCCAATATTCTCCCTGTACACGCATCTGTGCCCAACCTTCCATCTGTGCCAACGTGACCTCGTCCGCGGGCACCCACTGATCCTCGACCTCTCCATCCAGGGCGGCAGGCCGTCTTCTCACGACCCTCGGCCGCCCCGCCTCGGCCGCTGGCCTCCTCTTGGGCGCCATATCCTCGCTCCTCTCTGTCGCTCCCTCCAACTGCGCCAATAGTCCTGATTCCTGAGCACGTGCTTCTTGCCCTTGGACTTCTTCTTCTTCGGCTTGCTCCTGTCACCCCAGGCGTGTCCACCCCAGTGACTCCTCTCGTACCCAGGAGGTGGCCCCTCAGGCTCCCTGGGCTTGGGTCGATCTCTCGGCCTCTCCTCTGCTTCCTCCTCGGGGATCTCCTTGTCCTGCTCAGGCTCTCCTGCCTCACTCTCTCCACCTTCTGGTAGTGGTTCTGCGCCAACCGAAGGGCTCCTGGGCGGCGTCTTCTCCCTCCTTCTCCTGTCTCTTCTTCGTGACCTGCTTCTCGATCTCCGCGACCGGTTCCTCTCCCTTGATCTCCTCCTTTGAGGTTCCTCTTCACGACCTTCCTTCGATGCTCTGGACTTATGGCTTCTCTCCTTCTCCTTCTTCTTGTCGGATCGCTTCTCCTTGACGTCCACGAGGGGTCCACTCTTGTCAACTGTCTGCTCCTCCTTGACCTCAGTCTCGACGGCCTGTTCACCTTCGTCTCGTCGATCTCGCTTCCGCAGTCGGGCTAGGGGTGGCAAGCCCCGGCCTCTGCTGCGTCCACCGCCCTCTTCTTCTCCAGGCGGAGGGGCCTCTTCACCCCCGGTTGTACCAGGAGCCGCCGCTCCCGACTTTCCAGGAGATGTGTCCCCCGATTTCCCAGAGGCTCCTGCCTCCGCAGCCCCAGGGGTTCCTTCCCCCGATCCTCGTGCTCCCGACTCACCCGCTGCACCAGGAGGAGGTCCAAGTCCGGCCGCCTGCACGCTCAGTGCGCGCTCGAGCAGCCGAGTGTAGGTGGCCTCCAGGAGCGGTACCGCAGCCACCCGGACCTCCTCCCGAGTTCCTGCGTTGAGCAGAAAACTCGACAGGCGGGCCAAGATGGCGCAGCACCGGCACTCGCAGCTTGAAAAGTCGTGTGCCAGCTTTCTACTCATACACTTAAGCCAGAACACTGCAATGAAAACATAGATCAACCTCGTTTTAACCTACGAAACGAAGGACCATATATCAAAATCAAAAGGTGGTTCTTCTTGGGTTTCCTTCTTGGACCTTCCTTCTATCAAAGGAGACCAGTGAAACAATGTGAAACAATATTATAGTTATGATTGTTTATGATCGTTAATCAACTTTGTCCAACAAGTTTAAGTTTGGGACATCGATCACACATCTCTTTCTTGATCTGATCATCGATAAGAGCTGTGACTCGTGTCACACGTCCCACCGCCCAGATCACGCCAAGAAGCCCAGCCAGTGCGGGGTCCATAGGGGCCCTCGAAGAAGCTGGGATCCACACAGGGCTGTGGGTAGGCACTGGCCCCATAGCGCACAAGCTCTTCGCTGGTCATCAGCCACCTGATGTATGAATTGATAAGCACCAGTACGAGTCACGCCGATGTCGGGTGGCTGAGTGAATTCATGTGAATTCCGAATGAGGGAAGCTGCTTTGAAGAAGGTGGGGGGGTGGCTTTCCGGCAGGGGACGGTGCTCAAATCCGAAAAGGACAGGATTCAACTCCTCAGAAACCGTGCACTTGGTATGGGTCCCAAGGCAAGCATCAAATCCGATTACTTTTTCAGGCCTGGAGGCCTCCTCCCATCCCCTGAATTGATCGCTGATGAGGCACGGCTCATGGATCAGCTCAGGTGGCACTTCCTGAAGCTCGGGGAGCCAGCGGCGCAAGTAGAGGCCCATGGGGTCGAACTTCTGACTCTGTCGCACCTCGCGAGCTGTGCGCGGGGCCACATGTTGGCGGGGCTGACTCCCCAAGCCACGGCACCGGGGATTGGTTGGTGAGCTGGCTGGTGAGTCTTTGAAATGCTCGGAGTGACTACAGCTGATAATTGCATGATAGAGTGGCTGTGAGAACGGATGTTGGTGTCAAAACAACGGGTCTCTGTGTTTGAACTTTCATGGGGATGGGCCATATACGGCCTACAAATTACTCGGGGATCCTGTCCTCTTGACCACCCAGGCGGTTCACAGCAGGCTCCAACGCAACACCATGTCGTGCGGCGGGCGGTTTGAGCCACATCCGGCCGGTGCAGACTTGACGTTGCTGACGTGTTGACTTGTTGAGGGCGCCGTTTAAATAAAGAGTCGCTCACGCGTGGTTTATGGTGACCTTTTTGGAGACTGAGGCTTGTTTCCTTTGCATTGCGTTCGATCTGGGTGGATTTAGGGATCAGTGACCTCTTTGTCACACCCCGTGTGGGGACCTTCAGCATCTCCAAAAAGCTAGCAAGGCTAATTAGTCTTTCGGAACCCCTTAGGAATCACTGGAAAATGTCTTCAGCTCTCTCCTAAGACAGCTAGCTAGGCTAGGCTAGCGGCTAACCCTTAGAAAGGATCCACGTCGTCGGCTCTCTGAGACTTTCTCGTAACCTCTCGTCAGCTCAACCCGCGCAGGTGCGCGCGGTTCGGTTCGGTTTGGCAAAACGGCGAGTCCCAAAGCGGTTCAGCTCAGTGGCCACGTTGAAGGAGCTCAGGCGGCTCTCAGTGAGCCCAGCGCAGCGGACCCAGTTGCACCAGTTGGAGGTGACGTCCTTTGGGCATTCCCCAGTTGGGTGGCTTTGAAGTGTTGCACGCGCTGGCCAGCAGCAAACATGAATATGTTTTGTTGGATGGATATCAGAATTATTGAGTTGAGTGTTTGATTGATGAGCTGTGTGTGTGTGTGGAACTGGTTTTGGGGAATATTGATCTTGCTTGGAGGTGACAAACGTTTCAATTCTGACGCCAGCTTTGAAGACCTCAGAATAAGCGTACCTCTTCTAAAGGCTTCTAGTATCGCGGCAAACATCCGAGTTGCAGCTTGTACATAAAATATGCAAATCTAGTGGGCTCCAAACAATTTCCTGGCACATCTTCACTCATGAGAGGAAATTACTGTCACGAGATGACCTGTACCGTTAGTCTGATCAAAGATCTCTGGAGACCTCAAGAGCTGTTTGCAAAGGCTATCATTCAGGTAAAATAACAAAAAAATCATTGCTGGCCCGGGCGCATAGTCAATGAGGTGGCTCTCAAACCAATTTGCGCCACGCCTCCAACACGGGGAATGGAGTTGTATCAATTCAGCAATGGGGTGACCTATCAAGACCAAACTTCGTGCGACAACACTGAAGTTGGGGCTCAAGGCTCAAGGGGGTTGGAAGTCTTCCATGGAACAGCTCTTGCGATGGCTGTTTGTTTTTGAAGAACCCAGAAAAGAACCCTGAACCCCAGAACCCTGATTTGATAGTAGTTCTTCTTGACATCCTGCACACGTATTTCAGAACAGCGGCCTCCAGTCGAAACTCATGCTGCAAGCAAGGAATGAAGCAGCATTCATCCGCGCATGGTTGGAGGTGTACCCCGTGATCGAAAGCTCACGCATACAGGCATCCACCAATGGATAGCCTGAGGCCAAAGGAATCCAATAGGTGCAGAGCTCAGACGAGGCGAAGAACGAGTTCTGTTGTGTAACAATTGAACTACCTGCAGCAGCTAACAAAGATGGCCCCAGCAGCATCAACAGTTGGTAGTAGGATTTGCTAAAGCGTGGTTTATTCCAGCAACAGTGCTTTGATGCATTGTTCTTCTATGTTCTTCTAATATGTGGAGGTCTAGATCTTCCAAATCACAACATACCGTCACATACCTGGAACTTATAGACTGCAATCGTAAAGTCTTTGATATTCTTTGATAGTTGTTGTCTCTCGGGGCATACATGCAAACACCTCGGGTATGCAGTATGACCCTCACCAATCTGTGTCTTCACCCAGGACAGTGGGGTTGAACGAAGTGAAGGGCCAACCTTCCCTTAGAGGCTCTAGCATAGACTGACCGAAACACGAACAAAATATCAAACCAGATTAGATAAGAACTAAAGTAGATCTCAAGAACCAAATACACGCTCTCATAGATTTATGTATATAGATTGAAAAGATATCAAGGAGCAAAGAGATCAAGTCTCCCGTCTCCCGAATTACAAACTTCAAGTAAGAGTCTTTCATTGTGTATCTTCCAGCTCGCAATGCGCCCAAACCAATGGCCGTTTGGCCATACCCGGAACGACCCGCAACTGAATGAAAAGCACAGTGAACCGTTGTTTACCTGAAATCAAGTAGTAGGGCATGGTGATGAAAACTCGCCCCAAAACAAAAGGAAGCTCTTGGCTGTCCATGGGTCCTTTGGTAAGGGTTAAACCTCTATAATATACAGGTACTTATATAGGTCCTTTGGTTAAGAAATCACCGAATCACGGCCAAAAGGTCTAAAAGTTCGACTGAGGACAGCCAAGAATTGTAATGCACAAATCTGATCCTCACACCTCCAGCCAATGCCATACCATGCGCCATGGGGCGCCCATGCCCAACGATTCACCAACAACCAGAGCCGACGCCCCACCTGTGCGTCCGTTGGACCAAAGCTGGAAGATCCTCTCATCCTGCATCCAGTCCTTCCTGGACCGCGAGGCCCGTATGGCGGGTACGGGCCCCGCGGCGCCGTGTTTGGCGCCGTGTTCGGCGCCGTGTTCGGCCACAAAGCTGCGTCCGTGGTCGGGACATCGATCAGACTGGTCCGTGAAAGCGGTTTAAAGCGGTTTGAAGCGGGGATGAGCTCCATCTGAGCCTTGTCTTTAGCGTGAAACATGGCGGATGACTTGAAGTGGAAGCAAGTTCATGCCTACAAACAATTATATACATTAAAAAGGTGAACAAAAAATTGAGCATTCTCTGATGCGTTCCATCAAGTTGTTACCAGTGGGATCCAGTAGGACTAAATCCTATAGTCTTGATTTTCTCTTACGGCCCTTGGCTTCAATGCCATGAACAACATGTTTCAGTGGTCTTCTTTCAAGGAGGGTTTGCTGGGTGCTGGTTCCAACACTCTTGAGGGCAGCTTAAACACCCCTGGCAGATCTGCTCAGTCCTACTATCATCTTCCATTTTGCCATCCATATTTTTGTTTAAAGCATCTACTTCTTCACCATGCACCTGACCCGGTCACAAAAAGCACGGTTTGACCCTTTCCTCACCCACCCCGTCTGAACCCGAACGAACGAATGCAGCGGTCCACGAGCTCTCCCGGTCTCCTGTAGCTCTTGGGACCGCCTGGCTCGAAGATGCTGCTGCCTCAGTCTCCACATCGCACGCGCGTGCAGCTCGCAGCACGAGGGCGGGTGCCCAGGGGGGGTTGGTTTGAATTGGAAGTGGTCGGGAGGAAGGTGACCTGTTCCTGACTTTGGAGTCGTATTCTGGTGACCTTGACTGACCAGTCGGAACTTCCAGATCCATGGCGCTTCGATGCAGATGCATGGCGCAAGTTTGTGCAGCAGGCGACGATCTGGATTTGATGGCGGGAACCGCCAGCAGAAATCGATGCTGATTGAAATCCAAAGAATTTGTCTTAGCTTTGATCATGGACAAGTCCAGCTTATTCAGTTGTTTGACGATAAATTATGTCTGTCGATCAAAGCCTGCATTATAGATGTTTAACTTGGTGACAAGGAAAAAACTCTCACGGAGTTGTTTAAACATGTAATCTAGAACTCTAGAAACTATTAAAAACTCTTTCCAAAATCAGCATTCCAGAAGCTAAGCTCCGTATCGAGCTATCACCAGATCTCTCAATTGATAGAAGTGACAAACGGTGTCTTGTGTTATTTTTCCAAACCTTTCTTTAATTATAAACCTTTCTCAATGTATATAGAAAACATTTCTTTAATAAACCCCTTCCGTTTGAATTGAACAAACTCTTCATATGGGGTGGTTTAGTAAGACTCGAGTCTACATCACTAGAACATCGCTTGAACTCCTCGTTGAAGATGATTATTTGCAATGATCTATCCCCATCACAAAACATCAACCATTGGGATAGCCCACAACATGAGAAGTTTAGAAGATGAGAAGATTAGCCCACTCGCAAAAACTCGTTATTGAGCAGATCAGTGTAGCACCCCTGCAGCACAGCAAATCAGGGCATCCCTGCATCAAACGTCCTCGCAGGGATGAAACATACAGTCCCTCTAAGAAGTTGCCCATGCAACCTCTCGGTTGCATGTAACTAATTATATATAGTAGGATCTAAGGCCACTCAAAACCATCGAACGCCAACAGCAAACAACAACAACGGGTGCCGTTGGAGCGAAACGGGTCGGCCGAAGGACGACAGAACAAAAACACCAACAAAGCCCACGTCTGGCACACATCCGAAACACCTCTGCACACATCAACCAAACACAACAATATATTAAAAAAAACAAACACGCAAACACAATAAAACAACCATATTCAAACATTATGTTTTTAAAACAAAACAACACATACATATTTCCCATATAAAGAGAACAGATCAATCAAACATAGGGTCGCAACCGGCGGCCATAAGACACAAGACATCAAAGCGCACAATGGTGGGTGACCCGAATACAACTCTAGACTCGAGAACCCTATTCGAGGGGATACAGGCGACTGTCGAATAAACACGTTCTCAAGAATCCGCGAGAGTATTGTCCTTGTCACCAAGCTCAACAAGAACACCAACAAAGACGACTCACCAGTGGCAATTGCATCAGGATCTGGTTCAAGAAATCACATACCCGTTCATCAAAGCCAGGTTGCGTCGAGAAGACCTCCACCCATCGATCAAAGCCAACCAATTAGCTTTCCTGTCCGTCGATGAAAGCCTGGTTCTAGAAATTCGGAATTGCCATCAGGACCCTGACCTAGAATCTAGATAGAATCAGAACCTGACTTGGTTCTAGCTCCTCAAATTTCATAGAATTCTGCTGAAAACGTCGGACGACCGGACGATGGCTGAGTCCCTCAAGTCGGTGAAACCGGGACCGGGACCTAGCTTTCTAAGTGGGTTCGACCGGTCCAGATCCCGAAGTAGTGGGCTGGGGCTTCCAGCCAGGTGACCCCGCTGGCTGGAAGGTCCTGGAATGATCACCAACTGGCGAACCCCACGACCGCTGCCAGCGTTGATGCACGCTGCCACCCCACGCTGCCACGCTCCATCGTTCCAAGGTGCCGTGTTTCCCAGCATAGAACCTGACTGGAATATCTGGGTGGCAAACATCCTGAGGGATCTACAGGGGAAACTTCCATCTCATTCCCGACGAAATCGTCGCAAGTCGACGATGGTCTGTGAATGTCTGTGACATGCGGGGATTTTTGGACATCGAAGTATACCAGTAGGAATCTATGGTTCAGCGGCCAGTCCCCTACATTGGTTTAGAGTCTAGACAAGAGGTTTTGCCGACCTATCATGACCATCCCCAAGAGGTGAAGCATCTGCCGTCCGTGACTCACCAGCATTTGTAGACCAACTAATTTGCAAAAACAATTCCTTGTCTCAAGAAGCAATATCACCGCATTCCGCATTGAAGTGGAATTGTTCCTCAATCATCACCTACAAAACTGATGATACAGTGTAATTTGAAACCAATCCCCAGATCCAACGCACATTCAATTGGCAGGACCCATGGGAGCCTCGCAAAGTGACCCCAAGCTGCTAGGTGTTGTCACACATCACCTCCTTCAGCGACTCTGACAAGAAACCCTTGTTGAATATCCGGCGCACCTGATGTCGTCGATGGTTGAACAGCCGGTTGTGAGTGTTCAAGGCATTCCCGCATCATCTTGCAATCTTGGAAACAATTGAGAATCATTTCATGCACTCACTCACTTGTTTGGTTGAATACCTGGAATGTTAATTAACTATCTATTAAAACAAACGCCATTGAGGTCACGCACATTGCATGGTTCCACCCCCGTCCCCACGGCGACCCGTGGCCATCCCGGTGACCGGAAGAAGTCGCGCCAGGTGAGCTCCGTGATCAAGCGCCGCGCGTGCTTGGTGCGCGGGTCGGCGTCGTCGTTGCCGTGGTGCTCACAGAAGCGAAGGCACTCCTGGAACACCTGGCCGCTGAGTCGGACTGTGGTGTCTACCCTGGTGGTGCTGTGCTCTGTGCCGTTTCCTCTAGCCCACTTAAATCGATTCGAGCCGGCTCTGAGAGGCTGGACACTTGCGCAAACCTTGACATGGGAGGCTGTTTGCATGGGTTTCACAGCCACCCCGAGGTTAAAAACAGCAGCTAGTCTATACACCTTCCTTGTCAGCCTGCCCTCGGTGGAAACTCGATCGATCCGTCGCGATGGCTCGAGCCGGCCGATCCGCAGCCCTTACGTGCCCGACCTTACGTGGTGAGAGGTTGCCGAGGGAGAGCCAAGGTCCCAGTCGCGAGGCTTGGTAATCGCCAAAGATCAACCTTAGCAATGGGAAGACACCCAATTGGAGGTGACCATTTTTCCTTGGCAGCCAACATTTATACAGTAACGATTGGCCATTCAGGGGCACCAGCCAAATTAATGATTGGCAATTCAGGGGCACCTTGGTTTTGGCAATTTTGGCAAATGGCAAATGGAAGCCGGAAGAGATAGAGGCATTTTGAAAGACCCAACATGGCAAGCAGCGAGCCGGCAAGCCACATCCTGGCATTCAAAAGAGCTTCGGAAGTTTAAACGACACCCTGGACAGGACCTCCTGGCCAGACTGTTTTGGGGCCCTACAAGGTACGTAGTTTCTTTTTTTTTCGTCACCAACCTGTTCCAAAATACAAGCCTTGTTCCTTCCCAGTGTTCCTAACGTGGCAAGCCTTATTGGGCCGCAGCTTTGGAGCAGGAGTCTCCTTGAAAATCATGGCGGAAAATCGGACATCGTGTCCGATCCAAACAAAGCCCCATGGCTCTGGTGGCTCAGAACAATTCCGAGATGGTCACCAACATTATACAAGGAGTCCTAATGTTGAAAGCCACAGGTGCGAAAAAATAACGGTCTTGAAATTCAGTCATATGTCTGCTTCCCCAATGGCTCTTTGGACTGATCTGCACACTCCCTGCTCGGAAACAGCTGAGCTCAAGCACTGGCGCTCGGGGTAGTAGGTGGACCTCATACAGCATGGACTGAAACCGAACTCGGATAAACCCACCCCATTTGGATACACGTACTTGCGGACTGTCTGTGTCGACGTGCGCTACCACCTTCTCCCTTCCTCGGTCTTCTAGGGGGTTGAACACCCCATTTGGATTGAACAACCTTTTCATTTCATATGGGACGCGAAATCTAAACAAAGAGTCTACATGATGCAAAGAACACCAATGACACGAAAGCAAAAGGACGTGAGTGACGTCATGTGACAGAAACTGTTTTGTTCCCGAACCAGATCGATTCACCGAACCGAGCCTCTGATGAACGGGAGCCACACTCATGTGAATGAAGTGAAACTACCTGGACCCGACTTCAAGTACCTTATAGAACAAGGGACATGCCCCCAACAAAAACAGGTACGACTGTACCCATTGAACCCGAGGTACGAACGGGTCGACTCTATATATAGGTACTTCTGAATTGGGCTCTTCTCGAGCGAATGTCGAAGACACTGTCGAAGACATGGTAAAAATGCAGCAAGTCGATTCAAAGCCCAAACATGCCAAGTGGCCGAGGTCGTGACTCGTGGACGGACGAGGTGGACGGTCGTGCCATGGGGCGGAATTCGTCCAGAATGAGCACACGCACACACCCAAAACGATGCTTTGTCCTTTTTCTATCCATGATTGGAGGTCTGGACTTCCCAAAAAGTGTTGGGGAACATTCGTTGGCTGGGCAGATTCCGAAGCCAAGGAAGAACATCGGAGGATATCTGACGTTCGAGCCGTTTCTCTGGAAAAGAAAGGTGAACTTAAATTCCCCCAAGTTGTTTTTTCAATGGTCTATCTTTCCTTGGGTAGGAGAGCAACAATTGGAAAATATTGGAAACATGCTTGATTGTGAGTTCCTTGAGTTAAACACTCCAATTCACCTCCATGCACCGCCCCACCATCAACCACCTTTTCTCGATCGCTCTGAGTCCGGTCTGGATGACCATGAGGTACTTACCATGACACGGATGCATCGGGCGAAGCATCGAGCCACTTGTGTGGATGCATCGGTGGAGGCCACTTCTGACCAAGGCACGCAAAATCCGTCTTCCAAAGGTAGTCTGACAAGCCTGAATTCGAGAGACTCCTGGGGTTCTGGGTGGAGGAACTTTCAGTCAAGATGAAGCAATTGCAAGCCCGTATATATATTCTATATAACCTGGCCAACAAACCCTTGTACAAATTCCCTGCAAGAAAGTGGCGAGAGAAATACGTTAACACATGTCAACAGGGTAACAAGTGACTACACTTGCAAAGGATGCACCAATCCAATCCAAAGGCATCTTGATGCCTCCTTCTTGGAAACTATTTGACTATTTGACAAATAAAAAGGTATTGATCCCAAAGTTTCCTCCACACCTTCGCCCACCTGAAGATGGCAATCCACTGCCGAGTGGCGCTTCAAACCCTCCTCTTCACCGCCCATGAGTGCATCATCCACCACTGGTTCCACCACCTTCTCAGGGAATGGGAGGTCCTGACAGGTTGGTGTGTTCAAAAGGAACTGACCAATGGGTGACGGGGTGGTATGCTGCGCCTGACCAAACAATTGGGACATATTGGGACATCATGAAGCAATCTTGGTCATTTGCCCCAATGTCTGCGACAATCCTTCACCAAACACCGTGCCTGGTCGTCCAAACAAAATCGCACTATTTCATATATGGTGCATTAAACTGCCAATCTTTTTGGGTCACCCGACTCAGTTCTTGCTTGAGTGGGAATAATATAGGACGGGTGAATACCTCGAGCCAATTGAACATCCCGCCAGGTCCAGTGATCAAGGACTTCACTCACTTTGCAACCGGCTCATGCTAAACGGCGAATCCGAAAGAGGAACCAATCGCCTACACCCACCTCGGTCCTCCAGTATCCTCCAGTGGTCTAGTCCAATGCCAACATTTTCTTGAGGCGGCATCCATATCAAGCTATGCTCCAACAACGGGATTTCCTGAGCAAAAAAAAAAAAACACACTATTTTGTAGAACCCAGTGCTGTTACAAACTCCCCTATTCCAACCGTTCCCTCTTGACCCGAAAACCTTCGGATCCCAAGTCCCCCTCCCGAGCGCCCCGTGCGCTCGCTACTGCCGCGCCTTCCACGAAGGTTCGAAGTCCATGCCCTCGCTACTGAGCAACGTCAGCGTCATGCGCAGGTCCCCAGTCTCGAGCTTCGGCAAGGGCGGACGCACCAGACCTCGGTCGTAGAAGACGTCGACGGGCGACGTCGCGGGTTGGTGCGACCATCGGATGTTCCGAGCTTCGGGTTTTCGGTCCGACCGATGCATATAGGGTCAGTCCGACTGGTGGCGTCTCCATTTTGCGTGCCAGATTTATATGTTAGAGGTATGAAGAATTGAGAATCTACCAGTGAATGCTTTGAGCATTCTCCAGGTATCCCCAGGTAAAGGATTTACAAGTTGTGTTGTTTGTGTTAAGGTTTGTGGTAAAGTAAAGAAAAACGACATGTCATTACGTGATTACTTTTGCTGACTGTTGGAGTGATTCCACGGGAAACAAAAACGTATTCACACATTGCATCATAGCCTCTAACATGGTGAGCCCTGTCGGAAACGGACAAGTTCACCCTGGTTGCTAGCTATCATTGTACCTCACATGGGATGATCCGGCAAGAACAAAAGGAATAAACTGTAACCTCCGAGAAACTTATAACTGATGCCGCCACACACACATATTATATCCAAGTCAGTGAACATTTACTTGACTTACGCTTACTTCTGTAAAATACATCACCCACAATGATAATGTTGCTTTCCGGAAAACCCATCTCTCGTGCACTTGATGGAATGAGTTGTTCCATTTGCTCGCTGAAATCCAATCAGCATACTGCAAACACATTCCTGAACTCTGGGGACATCAACAAGTGGTCTCCCTCTCCCATCAAATGGTTCACTTTCTTAAAATATATGTGGGAGATGCCTCAGCATCTGCCACGGCGTGGCCGTTGCCTCACTGGCAACTTCCATTAAAGACTTTGCACCGTAAGACTCAGCACCGTCCCATCAGGTGTGCTGAGTCGAAGAAGTCGTTGAAAAAGCGATGCACAAAAACCAGACGTTCGGTGTGTGTTTGAATAGGGAGACCCCGCTGGAGACCTCTGGGAATATCAAGACGAAACCCATTGGATGGAAGGTCCCCCCTATTGAAATACAAACCCACACGGAGCATCATTTGGAGCTAGCTTCCACGATGTTCATCGACAGTTCTCACGGCTCTGGCGGCTTGCGGCTCGGTTCTCACTACGCCTATATGACCGTCGTGAAGAAGCCCAGAACAACTTCAATCCGTCCCTTTTTCCCTCTCAAAAACTGCCAGGACTGGCCGTCTGTGTCGTCCTTCCTTGTGCCATCCAGGGCGCTGGAGATGGTCGAAAGTTCAGGGCAAACCTGGGCGGTTTCCGTCGCCCCTCAATGGGGCTGGGCGGTTTGGGGGTCCAGGTCCGAAGCCTTCGAAGAGTCGAAGGATGAGTCCTCAGCAACACATTTTGAACGTGCGACCATGGAGGTGCAAGTAACTACGATGCAATTTGAGGAGTGGTTGGGGTTGATAGGTAAAACATGGTATCGGTATTAACATGACGATCAACATCTGACCAAAAGTACTGCGTCTTTGAATCATCTTTGAGAGCTGGAAAGCCAACTCAAGCCTGAGGGCACTGGATTGGAAAGTCATCCGTCAGTCCTTCAGACTTAGCTTTCTGGCTGAACACCAGAAAAAAGGATGTGACGATTTGGTGTTTGGTGCTTCTGATTGTATCAGCTGCAGTACACCTTCCCCGCTTTCATCGCTCCTTTCAGTCCTTTCCCCACCAGGTTCTCATGTTCCGTGCGAGCCATGACTGCCGAGCCCACTCCACCGCACTGGATTGGTATACTCACTGTCTGAAAGAAAGTTCAGAACCATCGATAAGCACAAGAACAATCAGCACAACCCAAGCATGCAGCATGGCTTGAAAACAAGCTCAACATCTCTTTTTCCCGTCTTGTTGCTGGAAGAAAAACACGTCCCTGATCCCTGAGGTCTCTGAAGTTCTTGGCCGTCCCAGCCCAGTCGTCCAGCCCAGCGACGTTGCCGTCTCGGGTCGTCTCGTCCCAATCCTGTTGAAACGCACGAGGGAACGGCGGCCCAAACGGTGAATGCTTGGAGTGGTTTGGCGCCAGTGGTCATCCAAATCGAACATTTGTAATATGTCCAGTAGTGCAAAGGGAGATCTTTGTTAGGTTGGCGTGAACACATTTGAGGCGTTTCATGAAGGTTGCAAGCTTATTTACTTTAAGCATCACTTGTGCGATTCAACTCACCCGGGTCTGAGTCGCGCAACATCGTTGGCAACTTGTGCCATCTGCTCAGAACACAGTAGGTATAGATCCAGTATGAATCAGTATGATACAATATGAATTGTTAAAATGGAGAAACCGAAGGATGAGGGAAGGGTCCATCTTGATTCATGGCTTGGGGGCTCCAAGCACTCAACATTGAGAAATCATGAGACATCGCTGCGAGACCCGGGACTGTGCACTGACCCGGGTCCTTGTAAACATCCGCAGTATTCTCTTCCTCTCTGGCATCCACCAACACAAGCCAATGGCTTGTTGAAAAACAGGGTGAAACAAGTACCTCCATACTTCCTGCGGCTGAAACCACTTTCCAAAGACCCACTTGTCCCATCAAATCGAACCTCGCTCGGCTGAAACACATCGAACCCCTACCTGCCTCGGAATTCCTCGGCCAGACTTTCTGTAGGCCATGTAAAAACTTCGAGAAGAACCTCGAAACCAGGCATCCGGCAGTCCAAAAGCCACCAGGCCACCAGGTATCCAGGCGTGGGCCCCTCCATCACAGCTATCTGTGGGTCATGGCACCCGGAGCCCTTTTCACCAGTTGACCTCCCAGTGTAGTCTGTTCTGTTCATTCTTGGTGGGAACAACCCAGGGTCTCCAGGTGGGACCGCCAGGCTCCAGGCTCCAAGCTCCACAGGTGGCCTCTGGAGACTGGGACATGTATTGACTTGAGGGGTCAGAGGAGTCAGGGGTAGACCCTCCTTGAATACCCAGACGCGACCCATGGGACTGCCGTAGGACCGATCAGGCCAGGGGTGGTGCCAGAGGGGTCAATTGATCGGCATATATGGCAGTCACATGGGTCGCGTCTGGGAATATACATGTTGGTGACCCTCCTTGATCCAACAACATCTCAAACCAAAAGATCTTCACGTGCTCCAGGACCCGCACGTCGAAAGCGTCTTGCGATGGGATCGCCACAGCCGTGGTCCGTGGGTGTCGGATCATCGCATTTGGTCCGTGGCTTTGCGTCTCGGAAGCCATGCCCAACTGCACCGACTGTTGAATCTCAAGCTTCTTCATGTTTAAACCGTTTGGTTTTGCTTAGTTTGTTTTGTCCCAGCCTCATGTCACCACAACTCTTGACAGTACGTACTTGATTGAAGACAAATTGTATAGCTAGTATCAAACACTGCGAAATGGAATGAGGTGATCGTCGTCATTGCCAGGCCCACAACGTTGTACCAAATGCCCTCCTTCAATGGCTGTCATAAGGACTTGTATAGTGATCGTGCAATGTGGCCTCAACCGAAACCTGGCATTGCCTCCCCCTTTGTCTACCAAGCAACTCTGGAACATCGTCAAAGCCCTGTTGAAGACCAATATCGTCCTGGATGTTGAATCAGGAACATGTCCCTGGACGCGTTTTTGTTTTTTAAGTTTGTTGTTATCACATTAGCACCTGAGACAAACAACCACATGAGTTCTTTCACGTGTCTTCAAAATCACCTCCATTCAGTGATTCGCATATAAAACAACATTGCAACATTTTGCAACATAAGTTCTGGCCCAAATCATCACTTCAAGCTGTTTTGGGGCAAGTTCAATCTGACTCCCCGAATTGGATCCGGCGTCCAATTCAGTCTTTTCTCCATCACCACTGGCATCTCTTCGTCTACAGTCGTCAGCCATGGCCGATGAATGAATGACCGTCTGCGATGAAGGGGACCAGACTTTTCACGCTGAGTCGTCACGTCAGTCTTCACTGTGGGTTGTCACGACCCCACGAGTTCATACGAGTTCTCGGGTTTGCAGGCGTTCCGATGTTCTGGAAGGTTCCGGGAAAGGGACCAGTCTACCCAGCCAGGGCTGGAAGGTGGTCTCACTACAAAGACACACACACCCGTAGAGGTTTCGATCTCGGATCAGCCGCAACCAACCCCTTGAAGTGAGGTCCGCCTTTCCAGGCCGCACGTCGCGGCCCAGGGTCTCCTTGTGAAAAAGCGTGGAGCCCCAACAGTAGCGCCACTGACTCTGTGGAATGCGCCTTTCCTCCATGGCAAGGCGCACCTGCCCAATGCGTCCGCGTGGAGACGAGACCTTCGAAGGTAAGAGGGGTGACCTGAACGACCCATCACCTGAGGTACCCAACTGGGATAGTCTATAGATGTCTATATATGTCTATAGGGTCCTTCCACCTCTGTTGCTAAGAACAAACCTGCATACCACCATCACCCTTCTGCCCTTCCAACAGCTTTGGTCAATGATGCACCTCAAAGCAGGTGGTAGAGCTGCATTGGGGACACGCCAGAATTCAGCTGGCTAATCTTGCTGTCTAAATTGCAAGCTACTGGCTTTAGCAAACACTTGGGAGAGACTTCATCCTGGCGCCAAAACTGATCCTGGGAGGTTCTCAATTCTCCATGTTGGGAAGTGCAAGGAGAACTTGTCCCAAAAACCCCTGTGGATGGAAGAATCCGCGATCTGGACCATGGGAGGTGGAGTCATTCCTTCAACCTGAACCCTCCAACAAACATGAACAACACCAAACCTTGAATGAGTGAGAGCCCCGTCATTTGATCAAACGACACCTCCACCGACACTGTGGTCAATTTCCACAGTTGCCATACCAGATACCTTCTACCTTTTTAGGCTTTAACTTTATATACATTATAAATATAACATAATAATATAACTATAAGTCGCGAACGTGCAAAATCTGGCAATGCTTTACTTCAGATCTGCGACCCCCCCAAAGGTGTGGGATCTGGGCTTGGTCAACCGGTGCCGCCGCCCCAATCGGTGCCGCTGCCCGGCGAAACGGAGCTCGAGCGAGACGAGTTGCTACTGCTTCCCAAGAGACCCAGGAGTCGATCGTCAATTCTGGAGAAGTCACTTCCTGCCTCAGAGTCATCTGTCATCTCTGATCCATTGGACAAAGCACTGAACCTTTTAGAAACAGAATTGGAACACCGCGTGTCCAACTCGTGAACGGTGTGGTCAACACAGGTCAAAACAGGTCAAAACTCACCAGGTTAGGACCGAGTTCGATGCCAAGTGGCTGAGTCAATAGGACCGAGTTCGAGGACAAGAGCGGTGGCAGGACCTTCTCGGGTTTCCCCACCTGCTGAAGGCCGAGATGAATGACAAGAAGGTAGGATTGACTCGGTTCCTGAAAAATAAATCCAGTCGGTCCAGTGGTTAGACGCGCGCTGCGCCTCGAGATTCCAAAAATTGATATGTTGAAGGTAGTCTGAGCATTGCCATCCAAGCAAGGCTGTGCGTATGCTAAGAGTTGTCAGACCCATGTCTGAAAAATCAGTCATGTCTACACCTACACTACACTGCCAGATCGGCTAAATCGCACACTCACTGATCGGTCAAATTTCCCCACAATCCGCAGTTTCTGGTGTGAATCGTTTGCAAGTGGAAGGGCAGTGATGTCACTTCGAGTCTTCTGGCAAAACATATTGGTCACGTTTGTGTGGCGATACTGCTTTATTTCACTCAAGGAGATGTGTTTTTGATGTTGCCACTACACAGTTGAAGAACTTGAAGACGTGTGTATCTTTGGGAGGAGGGCACGCACCTCAGGGATGGCCCAGAAGCATTGCCCAGTTGGGGTCATTCCCCACCAAGTTCCATACCTCTTTCCAACCATGCTGCAAGATCGGCATGGTGGCATGGAGGACCATTGCCCAAAAATACAGCAGTTGAGTAATCTATTGATCAAGGACGTCACATCATTGGATACCCCACATCCCATGTTTGATATATTTAATATTCATCCAAACTTAATGTTGTGGGAGTCCGTTAGTGGGAGTCCGTTAGAGCCCTAGGCGGAGTAGAATTCAATTCTGTAAAAATACAACATAGGTGTTGGTGGTTTCACGAACGAATGAATATTGGTCATTCAGAATTCAATCATGGATCCTCCAAAAGGTAAAGGTCCACGAAGAACAACAATGAGCAAGCATGTTAAACGTGTTCCGTCGTCTTCCTGCATGGCATCGTGTTGCCTTAAGGAGCGATGTCCATTTCACCCCGCGCGGCCGATATGCGCAGCGCCGCCTTGATGAGGAGGTCGGAGCCCCGGCGCCGCAGGCGTCGCTTGAGCGCGAGCACGGATTGGAGTAGGAAGAGTGCCCTCAAGCTGCCTCCGGGGCAGCGAGGATGGGGCAGCTTTGAAAGCAAGTTAAACCAAGCAAGAACATACGCTGCAAATTCAAAGCGTAACTAATCGAACTAATATCTATACTGCTTGATTCGAAAACACAAACACCATCCTACATCATCCTACAAACATCCAACATCTTCATTCCTCCTTCCACCAAACCCGCCCCCCCCACCGTTGAAACCGTCTCCACCCCGTCTGGCCACCGGTGGCCCGGCCGGTGCGCAAGGTCTTGTAGCGCGTACGCTGGAAGTATCGAGGGTCGAAGACCTGACGGTCAAACCGGTGTCGGTCCGGTCCGGTTCGACCGGACGGTCGAAGAGGCCTGGAGGCCAAGGAGTTTGGTGAAGAAAGCAAGCACAAAATCCACAACGGCATTTTCCGGGTCCTAGGTTCACCCGTGGACCGGCCTATACATAATATATATATATATTTATAGATTGAATCTGTAGATGGTTTCGAGATGTCTTGCCCAACACCCTGGACTCCTCACAGACCTCAGATTCCCAGGTGTCACCTCTGCTCCAATGGAAGCTCAGCTCCCGACATAAACGGGCACGACAGGGACCTTCCTTTGGGCCGCCAAACGCGCAGCCTGGCCGTTTCAGGGAGGATGTCACCAGTCAGCCTTGGATCTTGCGCCGGTGTCCAAAGTGATACTGTCAATGCTTTCAGACTATATGGCTCCGCAAAACGCTTGAAGTTTCCTTGAACAATTCATGCAAGGTTCACGACCGAGTTGGTTTTCAAGTGGAGGAAACTGAGTTGGATGCCTTTCGATCAACATCCAATCCAAGGAAACCCTTTTCAACAGGTACCTTCCAAAAAGGACCTATTTAGATCTATTTAGTGGCCTATCTTTAACGACTTAAGAATGAAACCTGTTCCCAAACCTAGCCCCCTGTAACACAGAACACACTTGCGCTGCTCTCGTTCACCTCATGCAAGACGACATTGTCATGCACGCGAAGGTCATTGCGGAGCCACGCGCAAATCACCATGGCGCGAGCGCGTGCGCGTTCGCGTGGCCGGGTTCGTGCAAAGTGACAACATGAGAAACACAATGTTACGTCTAAATTAGCACTTGGAACTCAGCTCAGGGAAATTTGTGCTGTGGACATCTGTTCTCCCTGAAGGAGTTAACAAGATACGTGAAGATGAACATCCACTGTCTGTAAACAGCCCGGGCAGCCCGGGCAAAGGTCCGAATTCTGCTAAGATGGAAAAACGGCCACCACGGTTGGTTTGCATGCAACAAAACGACATCTGAAAAAAAAACAGGTGCAAAACAACCTGAGCGCGAAGGGAAGACCCGTTGTCAAAGTATTTGATCGATTGACCAACAAACAGGTAATGGGTGTGTATTAGAATAGAGAGGCCTCCCAGGCAACGACTCCCTGAAGGAAGGAACACCGATGAACGTCGACCCAGGGTATCACTCTGTAAAAAATACACACCAGACCTGTAGATTGGGCGCGATCGTTGGGCCTTGTTTTTTTCTTGTTGCCGAGGAAATGCCTAGTGATCACAAGGAATCAAGGAATCCAAAGATCTGATCTATTTGAACAAGATCATGTCATAATACGAGCGCAAATAAACAAAATGTAGGTATTGTTATATAGTTGATTTCATTTGTCCTTGGTTCATCATGCCATATTCTATCCATTGTAGTCTGCAATAACTCTTGTTGGTCGCACTTTTCTCCGCCTTCGATGCCCAAACCAAGGGCTTACAAAGAAGTATGACATGAACAAAAAACACGATGTTTCAAGTACTCTGCGTGCTTCTCTGGAGCTAGGTATTCACATGTGTTAAGATGCCATACGTGACTGCTCGCCATCGATAAACATGCCAACCCACACAACAACTTGGGTGCTACACATTGATGGATATGCGATGATATGTAACA